TAGAATAGCAGAAAGTTTAGAACATAATAGAGATTTAGATAGTTTATTTTTTTATACAGATGGCTCACTTGGTACTGTTGAGGTTGAAGATAAGTTATTAATAGGATGTGGAGTAATTCAAACTACAGAATCAGGTCAGCTTTTATGTCAAATGTCTTGTGCGACAAGAAGGTGATTCTCATCTACAAGAGCTGAAATGGTAGCAATATTACTCGCGCTACTAACAACACCTTGGGAAAGAAGGGTAGAGATATGAACGGATAGTAAAGTAGCAATATTGGCAATCAAAAAGGGCCTAGAGACAGACAAGATAAAATCTTGGTTGAAGACTAAGAATTGTGGTCTAGTAACAACAATTGCAGAGATAATCAAGACAAAGAAGCTGAATACACACTTTATAAAGATCAAGGGTCACTCAGGTGATGTGTTTAACGATCTTGCAGATTTGAAAGCAAAAGAAGGGTCCAAGTCAACAGAGTACCTAAATCCAGAAGCATTATATATGAAAGACAACAAAATAAGATACACGTGGGAAGGTAAATTAGTTGAAAAGCCTATCCGTTCTTTTGTTAAAATGATAGGGAGAGTGCTATTGAAAGCAAAATAGGCTTTTTTGCACAATACGCATAATAAAACTCATCAAGAAAGAAAGAGTACTCAATTCTGGTCCATGTTGCGCAACATAATGAGAGATGGAACCAGACAATGAAACCACACTTTCAAATCAAACACATTACAGCTCTTTGAAACAAAGTGTATAAACAACATGCTCCTGATATTCGAAAAACTCAATCGAAGAAGGCCTGAAATATACAAGACAAATAAATGTGTTATATATAAAAAAAAGAAGGAGAATGTAGAACACCTGGTGAGCTGTGAAACTTCTCTGAACCTACTCTGTGATCTAAAGGAGCAAGTAGTAGAAGCAACCTTGTTTGAATTAAAAAAGGTAGAAAGTATAGAAACAACCAAAGAAGAAGTCTTAACAATGCTAGGAAAGAGATCTCAAGCTGAAGAATCACATAGAAGAAAAAGATAGATCAGAGGCCTAATCACAAAAGAAGACTTTGATAAGTTAAGACCTCTTTTCAACTCAAATAACCAAGCAAAGAACTTTTTAGATAGACTTTGGAAGAACTAGATGAAAGAGGTTTACAAGAGAATATGAGTTGCAAGATGTAAATTAGTACAGGAATGGGAGAAGGAAAATGGAATCATGCCAAAAGATAAAAGAAGAACTTACGAAAAGACAAAAAGGAAAAAAAAGAAGAAGAAACCACCTGATAAACATATTAAAGAAAAGGATAAAGATAAAGACGTAGACAAGGATAAAAGGTGGAGTTTAGTTTTAGAGATAACTAAAAAGGAGGTTATAAGATGGATTGAAAAAGAGCATCAGGCAGATTGGTGGAAAACTAATATGTAGTCTTGACGGGTGATAAGATCCAGCTAATGATGTATTATCGAAGCCAATTGCAGGATAAGATAATACAAAGGCGAATTTTACTATAGCAGGTTGCATATAGGTACTCAGTAAGCAACTAGGTGAGTCTTTACTTGTAATTTAGGTACTATAGAGTATAGCTCTGTAGAAAATTTTAATAGTATTACAAAGCCTAATAAAGTAAAGGCAAGACTGCCAAATTCTTTAAAAAAATATATATATATTAAGTATAGTATACTCTCCCAAACTTGATTTTGTCAAAACTAATAATCTGCTATAACCAATAAAAAATTGATCCATCATGTCTGTTCTATAATTAAAATACAATAATCTGTCATTTCTAATAACCAATACCCAAAAGACTAGATATCTATAAAATATTGGTTTTGACAAATAATAAATTGATTTAATTGGCTAAAATCAGGTTTTGTGTAACAAATTATATATATAATAAATATAATTCAGCCAATTATATTTATTTGTAATCATGTGACAGCAGATCATTGATATTTTAAATCAATTTTTAAATCCGATAATTTCTCAAAACTAATACAATAGCTGTCTACTATGTATATTGTATTTGAGAGAGTACTAAAATCTTTTTTTTAATAGTCCAAAATTAGTTTTTGTAATAAAATTTTGTAATATTAATAATTTTTTAATTTTTTTTCTAAAATTTCTTAAAAATTTATTTATGTTGTTACACATAATTCTGCAATCTAATTGGTAAATTGTAAAGTAGTTAATATTACCAAAGAGACAAGTTAGCAATATTTTTAATTTTTTTAATAAGGAATAATATAAAATGCACCTATGGTGTTCAACACCAATATGTGGTATAACATGAAGATCAATTTAAAAAAATTAAACAAAAAAAAATAAACAAAATTAAATTTAATAAATATTAAGTTAGAGTTAATAGTTAGGGTTAAGGTAAGATATAGTATATATTAAAATTTTACAAGGAATTTTTATTTTTTAAAAAAAAAGATAGTTTCATAGATAAAATTTTGAGTTAGAAGGTATTTTTTAAAAAAATATCAAAACAACAAAAAATTTATGTTATACCTGATCTTTATGTTACACTGCATTTAAAAAATTTGATTGGTGAAGATCATTATGATATTGAACACCAATGGTGCATTTTAGTAATGTCGTTTAATAATTTAGTTTAAATAATTTTTTTTTAAATAAAAGCTTTTAATAAAAAATATTGAATAAAAAAATTATTTATTTTTAATTATTAAATCTTAAAATATTTAAAAAAAGCAATTTTTTATTTATTTATTACAAAAATTATATATCATACCTATGGTATTTAACATTACAATAATAAACTATAGTATAACATATAAATCAAAATAATTTTTAAGGAAATTCTATTTTCACCCAGGTTAAAGACTAGTTAAAGTTACCCAAAATATAATTGCCACATGTTATATAATATAAGCTACTATAGAAATTAAAGATTCTATATATTAGTTAGTTAATTGTTGATATAGACTAATTTTAATAATATTATATAAATTTATATTATATAATATACACAGTGTTGGGCAAATTAGTGGTCAACCAAAATTTTATTGGTCCAATTGGTCTGGTCAAATTGGTCAAATAGTTGAACTGGTCAAATTGGTCAAATTAATTATATAAATATATATATACATTATATAATAAACTATATTTAAATATACTATTTGACCAATTTGACCAGTACAGATCCTTTGACCGGACCAGTCAAATTGGTTAAATTGGTCTGGTCCAATGGTCAAACTGGTCTGGTCAAGCCAACACTGAATATACATATTGGTAGATTTACAGAAATGAAATTGGACCCTAAATATGGTCACCAAAATACATTTGTTTATAAAAATTAATTGGTTAGATAATAGTTAGATGATCAATAATCATATAAATAACCCCAATAAATAAGCATTAACCTATTAAATCTTAGAGATAAGATGGTTTAACTTGTAAAATTATATAAAATTCTATAAATCTACCAATATGAATAAAAATTAAATATTAGATGACTTTTACCCCAGATAAAAATAAAATTTTTTTAATTTTTATTAAACCAAAAATTAAATTTTAATTAAGATTAGGGTTAGGGTCACAGGTTGAAATAAGACAAATCGGGTTCAAATTGGCATCACAAAATCTTGATATAACCCCGATATGAAACAAATATTTGGCACAAATAGGGCACCTATAGGATACAATTCAGATTGATTTCAGCATACAAGACATATCAGCAAAACAATAGCTCAATAGGTAAATCAATAGAGCTATAAGTTAAGCTCTATCGATTTACCTATTGAGCTATCGTTTTGCCGATATGTCTTGTATGCTGAAATCAATCTGAATTGTATCCTATAGGTGCCCTATTTGTGCCAAATATCTGTTTCATATCAGGTTCATATCAGGATTTTGTGATGCTGATTTGAACCCGATTTGCCTTATTTCAACTTGTAGGTTAAAGGCTAAAATAATGTAAAAGTTTAGTTATACCAAAATTTTGCAAGAAATTTTTTTTATTAGAGCTTAAAAAGTGGCTTTATAAATAAAATTTTGAGTTATGCTCTTTTTTTAGAAAAAAAACAAAAAACCATGTTACACTTGATTTTTATATTACATTGCAGCTTATAAACATATTTATATAAACTAATTGTAATTACAATATTATTTATATTTTAAATTTAAAAAAAAAATTTTCTAATGCAAGTTTTATTTTTACTAAAAATAAAATTATTTTTTATATAAAATATATAAAATTTTGGTGTTTAAATTTATAAAATTTTAAAGCAATTTTCTCAATATAAAAACAATAGTTTTTGTAATACAATTTTTTATAAAACAATAAAATAACTAATTAAGAGCTTAATACAGAAAGACCTCTCTAAATGCACTCTCTATAAGTGCACTCTCTATGTAAATTCTCTTTAAATAGTATAGCCTGGTCCCGGTTTATAATAGTACTATATATTTTGCTCTCTATAAATGCACTCCCTTTCTAAGTGCACATTTTTGACATTTTTTACTATGGTCCCGAGGGGGTGCATTTAGAGAGGTCTCTCTGTATATATATTCATTGTTTTATATAACTTATCTAAAAAATAGAAATGCATATCCTATAAATGTTTATTTACAAAATATAGTTTAATTTTTTGATTAATCTATTTTTGGCTTTTAAACAAACTAGTAAAACTCATTAACAAATTACGATTTATATACTTTTTATATTCAGATCTACATGTTCAAAGCCCTTAAGATACTTAGAAATAAACTAGTTACGACCCTCTATGTGAAGAATTTGTTAAAAAAAAATGATTCGAAAATTTATGAATCAAAAATTAAAATTCTATACCGTAAAATTTCTCCAGAAAACCTTCAGGTTTAGGAGGCGATTCTTCTTTCGAAAAGTACCTCATGATATGCGTATCCATTTTCCAACTATTAAGGGTTTCTTGATATTCGGCACGGCCTTTAAAAATCAAGACGTCAATTACCCTTAAATCGCTAACATAACGGTTTTTTTCAAACTCTTCTCTGATTTTCGCACGTGCCGTTGCTACGGGAAAATCAAGAAGATATGATTGAACTATTTTTGGAGCCTTTCTTAAATAAACTTGTGAATAAGAATCTGATAGGAAGTAGTACTTGTACAATGTTCAGCATTTAAACGGAAATTAGTAATATTTTTACCGCCCGTTGCCAATCTCTATATAAAGAGAGTACTCTTGATCGTGCTTCGGAAAATGAGGAAGAGGACACTACTTTTGCAGCATAGGCTGCTGGAGTTGTTGTCATTATGCTTGCGATTCAAAGTAGACTGAGTTAGATCAAAGGTTGCACCATAGATACAGGTCGGGATCGATCTGCATAATTGCAAAAAAATCAATGAAGTCACGTTCTACCATATTGTGAATATAAATAGTTTGAAGACAATCACGTTCATTTTTAACCTCTCCAGTTTTTTAAAAAGTTTTGTAAGTTGTTTTCATAGATCCTTACTTTTACGAATAGTCTTATCTCACCTAGTGCAAAAAAAGGGAAATATAGGAAGCATAGTTCAGCTTTGTGAAGCTATATTACCAGTCATTACTTTTAGACGCCAGCGTAGAAGCGATTTGGTATTGCAAAGACACAATTATTGTGCTTGAGAGTTTAATTTGCTCATAAAGAAACATTCTTTTTTCTTCCACAGTATACCTATAAACTATTTTTATTCTTATGTCATCAACGCCTTTTTCCCCAATCGTTCGTATTGATCGTGAGTTATCATCAGTTGTAGAGAGCGACTCACATCGGTTGATCGCTCGCAATGACGATCGATCAGGAATCATTAGTCCGTCAGGAACAAGTTCAACTTCAACTCAGATGAGTTCAGGGAATGCGTCAACTTCGACTCAAATAAGTCCAGATGTACGTTCACTAATTCTACCTGAAGAAATAAAAGATAAAAGGTGTTGGATTTGTTTTGGCGAAGAATCAGATAGTGTGGGTAAATGGGTCCGACCTTGTAAATGTTCTCTTATATGTCACGAAGAATGTTTGCTTGCTTGGATTACAGAGAATCAGAAAAGTACTGCGTTAAAGAAGGTTCGTCTTAAACAATTTAAACTCATTTTAACGAATTAAAATTTATTGACACTTAGTTCATTTTAATAGGTACGGTGCCCTCAATGTAGAACTTTATATCATCTCGCTGAACGAGCATCTCTTCTTTTACGCGTTTTTTCTATCGTTGATTCTGCAATCCAATCTTCGATTCCATACTTCACTATTTTCGGTGTTACTTTCGCTATTGCAGTTACAAATATTCACTATGGGTTGGTGGAAACCATGAAATTCAAACTTATCATAACATAACCAATATTGACGATTTTTAAATGTCTTAGAGCGTATGCAGTAATTACAATGGTTGGTCTCGAAGATGGTGAAAAACTTTTAGAAGGACCTTGGAGCTGGAGGATTTGTGTAAGTATTATCTAATAATTTATATATATATTTGGAAATTAGATTAACGAGAAATCGTATGTATATATATTCTATACTGTGTATAAATAGTTTACTCTCCCTCTTGTTCCGATATTGCTTATTTTTTCGAGGGCTCGTATTGCCGACCCGGTGATGCCGCTCATTCCTATGCTATTTATTAGATATGATCAATTAAGAACTACGATGCCCCTGAATCCATCCCTCACAATCTCTCTTTTACCATGGGTTAGGATTATTTATAATTATTCATACAATCGTTTGTTTGGTCGACTTGAGCAATCATGGCGTAGGCAATTAGAACCGTATTCAGTTACAATCGATTCTGAAAATGGTGAAAATGGTAATGAGCGGCGTCGGGAAAATCAAGATGTGTTGGATCGTTTGGATAGAAGCAATGCTGGTCGCAAGATTATTGGTGCGTTATGCTTGCCATGTAAGTCTATAAAATAATTTAAGAATTTTATATTGCTCTTATTTGATTGCACTTGCTTGACGTAATCATTAATTACTCTATTGCAGTTATCTCGGCTATGGTCGGAAGGTGAATATACAAATTTATTGTTTATAATTTATATATTGCTGTACGTGCAATTAACAAATATATATTTTCTTAATAGCTTCCTTGGTCGCTTTTCGTTTATTCGTTCACGGGTACCCGATACTTTTCATCGCAACGTTCTCGGTGGATGCCTATTTATAGTCATAAAGGTTCGTAATTTTGTATGTGTTCAACACTTTTTATATATGATGATTGATTTATTTATCGCAACTTTTAGGATATTATGAATCTCACATATAAATACCAAAGAGCAAAGCATCGTCGATCTAGGCATATTAAAAATTATACAGAATTTGCGAACGAAGAATTAACATCTAATCTTAGATAATTGAAATGGAATAATTATTATTATGGCTTATAGAAAAAAAAAGAAAAAAATTCATTGATAAACAAATTGTGAAAAATTAATATATACATTATCATTTTTGGTATATCATCTAATTTCAAAAAAAAAATATCACATTATTTTTACGTTGGAATGTAAAATTTTGTATTTAGCTTACAATAATAAACTAGTTACACTAAAGCAGCAAAAATTGTTGAGGTTCCGATGTCTACGGCTAATAATGGTTTATGGAAGTCATGCTACTGTGCCAATTAGAATCATTAGGTTAAATTAACGGTAGGAGTTTTACAAAAAAAGCAAAAAACAGATTTCTTTTCTATTAAACGAAAATCTACTAGCGATCATGCAGGGGAGGTTTATACTGTATTTTACGAATCATCCAGGGCGACCATAAAAAGTGCAGTAACGTGACCTGTAGCGCAGCCAAACCAAAACTGCACACAACTT